TTTGTTAAAACGTGTTGAAATTTGTTAGTAATAGTTTGTAAGCAGGATTGACGCCACAGTTTTCAACCGATTCTGATGAAACTTGGTGTGATCATTGGAATTGATAAGATCTCAGATAAGTTCTAACTTGACGTCAAAAGTTGTTTTTGCCCTTGATTAGAGCTGTGTGATTTAATTGTTTGTTGTATTTGGGTTATTGATATTGATTTTAAAAAAAAATTGTGGAATTACTCAACATAAATAACTGGCATATATATATGTAATTGAATTCAAACTAATAAAATTTCTTCAATATGAGAAAATTCATACTTTAATCACTAAAGACTGTTTTATCATTTCTGACAGCTGACAGTGGGCGTATGTTACATTGCCTCGCAAGCTATCTTTCTTTTTTTTTCTCTCTTAATCAATGGCTACAGAATAGCAACATCAGAATTTCTAAATTTTTAGTTTAGTTGCTGAATTTGTGATTCAATTTACAACTTTTTTCAATTTTACATAGTCTCTGTTCTGTCTGTTCGAAAGCTGATTACTTGACTAAATTTGGTTCGAGTGCTTGTAATAACCCAACGTAAAATATAATATTTTATTGCCCATTTTCTTGCAAATGTGTTGTGGACAGGATAGAGAGCTGGTTTCTTGGCGGATTTTGTTGAAACTTGGTGTTAGGGTGTATTGAGATGAGTCTCAATGAAAGCACTGGCCTAGGTCACAGAGCAATAGGTAAGTCTATTGATTATGTGAAAATTAGTTAGTCATTAGTATGATTTTAGTTGAAAAGAAACAAACACAAAAATACACTGCATGTTATATAATATACTGTATATAGCCATGGCACCAGTCCTGAAATAAGTATTCCCTGAAATCTAACTTAGAAATCGATTAATTTATTGATAGAACATGATACATTTATATGAAGAAATATCTGCTCCTAGGATGAATGGGCATTGTTCAATGGTTCAAGTCCACCGTGAAAGAGGAAATTGTTAAGATTTTGTAAGTTACAACCAAACGTTTTGTGTATACATGGGGAAATTTGTTCTGAAGTTCCGAGTAATGGCGTTTGACTATTATGGAGGCTTTGATAGCTGTAGAATCAAATGTCGTTATAAAAGGTACAATCTGGTTATCGTGTTGAATGTTGAGTCCATTTGGCCTCACAGTCTGCAGTTGGTCGATCCAGTAACTTTCGCGCTGTAGACGTCTAAGCTTAGGTTTGATGCTAGGTGATGTAGAAACTGTTTCTATAGGCATGATGAGAAGGTCATCAATGGAATGATCGGGAAGGTTGAAGTGATTCGCAATTGGTCTATCCTTGTCATGCACTATATCATAGCGATGGCCATTGAATCTCGTTCGAAGCGCGTTTTGAGTCTCGCCAACATATTGTACATCGCATTTTTTACAAAAAATTAGGTATATGATATTCTGATCTCCGCAAGAAATTAGGTTATTCATCGCAAACAATTTTCCGTTCTTGTTATTTTTGAAAAAATGGGTAACATGGGTGTGTTCGCATGTGCGACAAGTAGGACAAGTGGAGGGGGGTAATTTTTTCTTAAAATGTCTGAAAGCGTGTCATTCTTAATTGTTCGAAGAAATCTTTTGGATTAACCCCTCTCCCTTAATTTGTCAAAAACTAGTTTACAGGCGGATTCAAAATCAGCCTGTTGGGTGCAAATTCTATGAAATCTTAGAATTTGAGATTTAATTATTTCAGAAAATGTGTCCTTCGGGTGGAACGAGTATAAAAGTTGGTGTGTATCAGTTTCCTTAAAAAATACTTTAATGTCTAATTTTTTAGGAGAAAGAAAGTTAATGCCTTTGAACACCGTGGTGTCCACATAATCCATGCTGTTTTCGCTGTCAATTTCACAGAAGGGTGGTGGTTGTTTAAAA